GCAAATTTCCCATTATTGGATACGTCGTCCAAAGATTCAAGCCCGCTTCAATCATGTCTAGGCCAACCACGCCTTGAAGTCCTTCGAAAGCAGTTAATTGCTAGAAGAATGGACTGGAACGTTCCCGTACACCGACGGATCTCCTAATTCGTCCAACGAGGGGTCTCAAAAATACGGTTCTGAATGGCAGATGTCTGCTGCCCTTCAGGAATTGGACCGGTGACCAAATAACTGAAGCCTAGAAAAGAGCTCAGAGAGGCTCTTCTAAGGATGGAGAATTTGTGCTTTGATCAATTCTGTTTTTAGTTTGCAGCATAGATTCGACTTCCATTCATTATAGTCGCGTTTGAATGCGTAAGTGGCCTATACAATAAATTGAAGTGACCGGCTGACGGGGAGGACAGTTGTTTTACTCGCCCAGACGAGTCTTCTACCAATTACCCAACCCAAATAGACAGGCACTTTAGTATCATTCCTGTATTCTATCCTCAGATCATGTGAATGATAGTGAGCCATTTGGCAAGACACCACCTCTGTCCAACTATTTGAAGCCCGAAAGAAAGATCAATGTACTGCATCTAGACGAACTAACACCAAAAGACGTCACGGAGATTTTACATGGCGAGGGTGAATCAGAATGGAACCAATACTCGTTTATGACATCATAATGAAATCTCAGCAACATTCGAGCCAAAAACTTCCAACTTTTTTACCCTCCGACAAACATGAATGATCAAACTGCAACTTTCTTTTCAAATTACAATTTTCGTAAGTGGATTATGAATCCGAAATACAACTCGTGCTCGTAGTTTTCATCGTTAATCAGAGCTTAGCCTAGACTTTCATATGATTTTCTGGATTCAAAGCGGTCTATGAACTGCACAGTAAAAGAGGAAAGTCTCAGTCTTAAGGAGCTCTCTATACCATGAAAAGTGTTGCCCATGACAGGATAAAAACAGGAAAAACTCACTGGATCGGGTTCGTTTTGGCAAGCATTCATTGCTGGATAGATGAACAACGTTGATGATAATACCAGTACATCGAACAAGGACAATCCGCATAGGAGAACCTAGAATAATCGCTGTGAGAAATCCATACAAGAAGTTAGTTTAATGAAAAAGTTTAGTAGGCGACTACGCTAGAGCGATTGGGATTAAATCAGTGTTTTGAACAGGAGCTATGGTCAGGAGTCGCCGTCGTTGTCGTTGTGCCAAAACTAAGTCACCGCGTATGGTGATGTCAGAGAGGACTCATGACCTCTTTCCCAGTCATGGGGGTGAGTAGGCAGGGGACCACAAGGTAGCCCCTCCGCCAGGTACTCCTAGACTGAATAAATGGCAATTACAAATTCGAAAATCAAAAATTCAGCGATTTTTATACCGGGACACACTTGAGATGTGAATCTCCAAATGGTCAGTACGATTTACGGTCCTCAAGGACTTCTGCTACAGTAACTAGTGCAATTGAATTGAAAAAAAGTACCTCCAAAGACGTGTGCCGCATTTTTGCAAAAACGATGGCTGACAGAGCAGCGGCAGCCACACCGGGAATACATATCTGAAAAATAGAAAAAAAATTTAAAAAATGAAAAAAATAAAATAAAAATAGTGATTGATTTTATCGATTGTTTCCAAGACTTATCTCTTCATGAGTTTGTGCCTAATCCTTACACTTCATCTTTCAACNGTAATTGTATTGTAGTGACCGGCTGACGGGGAGGACAGTTGTTTTACTCGC